AAGCACTGTACATGTGATTTATTGAGGTGTTACTAATTTTTTATAAATTATACTAATGTACATTAATATAATCTACATTACTAATGTAAAATAATCTAACAGGGTGTTAAGATGGTGCAATTGCTATTTCTTTAGAATTAAGATCTTATAATATGGTAGCCATTAGCCACATGTGGCTATTTAAATTAACTTGAATTAAGTGACTTTTAAAACTTAGGATCAGCTGTACTGGCCACAAATCAAGTGCTCAATGATCACATCTGACTATCACATTAGACAGCAGAAGTCACTTCCATCACATCTGAATGTTCTATTGGACAGTGCAGCTCAAGAAAAATGTCAGGGTAGGCCAGGCACAGTGGCTCACACCTCTAATCCTAGCACTCTGGGAGGCCAAGGCAGGAGGACCTCTTGAGGTCAGGAGTTCCAGACCAGCCTGAGCAAGAACGAGACCCCATTTCTACTAAAATAGAGAGAAATTATCTGGACAACTAAAAATATATAGCTGGGCATGGTGGTGCATGCCTGTAGTCCCAGCTATTTGGGAGGCTGAGGCAGAAGGATTGCTTAAGCCCAGGAGTTTGAGGTTGCTGTGAGCTAGGCTGACGCCACAGCACTCTAGCCAGGGCAACAGAGTGAAACTGTCTCAAACAAATAAATAAAAAAAAAAAAGAAAAAAAAATGTTAGGGCAATATTAAGTCTATAATCTTTTTTTAGTGGCATGGAAATTTTGATTTTTATTATATAGTGCTTCCTAGTTTAACTGGTGCCTTTTATATGATAGACTAACATCTCACAAACTGTGCTAAAATCCTGACTCCCAATCGCACTGATGTGGTAAATGGACACGCCAGGACCCTAGCTCCAAGACTGGGTCAGTTCTCCTTGTATACCTGGGACTTGTACCTGAAGAGAGATGGGGAGCAGAGGCTTACTGCCTTCCCTCTGCCAAACCGAGGCCTTCAACTATTTCCCAGGGCAGGGCTTTCTGACTCAGGGTATTATTCTACTCTGGAGGATATGATATTACATTTAAGGCAGAACTTTCTCCTTGCCCTCCAGAGGCACCTGAATTTTTCTTGGGAGCTCCAGTTAACCCTGACCTCTTCCTTTGGCAGCAAGGTCATAGGCCTGAGCCAGAAGCCTCAGCTGGTTCCAGAAGGATGACTGTGTGCTCCCACTTGTGTCCGAGGTCCCAGATTCCCCAGGGAAAGTCAGGCTTAATGTACTTAAGCCTAGTCAGGCCTGGGCACTTTTCACATTCTAGTATGAGAGAATTACTTCTTCTGGAAACATTGTTATAGTTTGTACAAATATAATAGATCATTTAATAGGTCTCTACATGATTAAATCTTAAAACAGTTTTTATTTAGGAACGGGAATTACTAACTTAAAAAAAATTCTCATTTGATTTACATCACATTTTAAAACAAAATTTAGTTTACTTAAAAAAAAAGTTGATTCTGAAGATTCCATCAGCTAGCAACTAAGGGATGACTATGAAGTTCTTCTATCAAAATGAGAGAATATGCCTACCAGATGACTGCCTTTCAAAGCAATCCCTGTGGATGTTTGTCCATTTATTTCACAGTAGCTCCCACTGCCTATGCTGCTTTAGAAGCCTCTTGGAGAGTTGCCTAGGGAACCTACAGGATTCACTTGAAAGTCCTCCATGACAACAAGTCTTCTTTTCTGAGCACAGATATTTTTGAATCAGCCCAAAGCCATCTGGACACAAGTTTGGTAAACATGGTAGGCAACAAACAAAAAAGCACACCAAGCAACAAAAACAAAAATGGGCAGTGCTGTTTCAGATGGAAAATAAAACATGAAAACTCTTAAGTACCTATGAAGTGTTGGGGGCAGCACTGGTTGCTTTCACCCATATGGTCTCACTTGGTGCTTTCCTGAACTTTGTAAAGCACTGTTCCTCCCGACAATGACTCTAGCTTATAGGGCTGATGAGAGTTGAATAAAGTAATGCTGTCTGTAAGTGGTAGAGTCAGGACCTACACATGGGTTTGGGCCAAAGTGCAGGTGGAACTCAATAAGATGGGATCACTATCTCTGCCCTGGAGGGCAGTATGATCTATGGCAGGAGGTCTGGCTACGCTACTTAAGTCACATGGGTAACATTAATCCCTTTCTGCTCCTCATTTCTATGCAAGTATGCTGATGTACTTTCCAGACTACACTGCAACCTGTTTATATGTCTCTCTACTGTTAGATTGAGCTCCTTGAAGGAGTTATGTTTTTCTTCATCTCCATGTCCCTAATAGCTAGCCAATGTCCAATATACACTTGGTGATCAGTGAATGACATTTGTTTCTTGTTTAGTTGTTGACCCTACTCTGACTTTGCACATGTTACTTTCCCCTCCTGACCTCCATATTCACATCTGTGAAATGAAAAGTAGGTGACTAAAGGCCCTTCTAGTTTTAAAGAGTTAAATGAAACTTATAACTGCCTATAGTGGCAGTACTGAAGAATTCTCAAGCCATTACACTTCCTGTTACTTCAGAGAGGGGTGTTTGCCCATAACATCTTTCTTCTTGCCTTTTGATGCCATCTTAAAACCCAAGAAATCCATCCAATACAAAGAGAACTCTGAAAGCAGAAATAGAAGCTACTGAGTGGTGAAGAGAGAGTTCTTCCTGGCATGTTCCCTGACATGATGGATAGGACCTACAAATCTGGCTACTGAAGTTGTCAGTATCCTGTCACTTCAATGTCACTGCAGAATTTTACCCTACTTTTCAAATTAGTCTCAAGAATCTTTAGTGTTGGTGGTTTTGTGAGTTTTTTGGGATTGTTATTGACACAACAGCTTCTGGAAATCTGAAAAGAAAAAAAAAAGGTAAGTTATGTATCAGTTGTTCGGAATATGAAACGCATTTTGTCCTGGTCTCAAGAGTGAACGTTGATCAGTCTCTCCTTGTAGTTCCCACACCCTAATGTTAAGTCATAGTATTAAAGGGATGGCAGAGCTTGAAGACCAACGACACTTCTTAACCACTGCATTGTGTACAGTGTGATCGGTTATGATGTACAATTTATGATGAAGACTGTAAGGATAAGTCTGTGCTCTTCTAGGTAATTTAAGTTGACATTAATTAACAGATTAGGCTTGGTGCTAAGAAAACATTACAAGTTCAAATCCCAAGCATGGATTAATTTGCTCTCTTCCATGGCCACAGATTCCATGCTTAGCTCCAGTTTGCTGGTCTCCTAACATATGCCAATGATTATATGGGTAGGAGTGGAGTCTCTTATGACCTTACTTGAAAAACTGAAAATTGACTTGTTATTGCTGGTGGATAGACACCTCAACTAAGTAGAAAATTAATTAAAGATATCATTCTACTATAAACACATTAGTTTGGAAAGAATCAAGTAAATAAGATATGATTTTCAAGGTTTGTGCTGTGGATCAATTGATCAAAACCAAATTGGAGCCTGACCAAGAGCGAGATCCTATCTATACAAAAAATGGAAAGACTAGCTGGGCGTGGTGGTGTCTACCTGTAGTCCCAGCTACTTGGAAGGTGAGGCAGGAGGATTGCTTGAGCCCAGTAGCTTGAGGTTGCAGTGAACTATGATGACAGCACTATACTCTAGCCTGAGCTACAGAGTGAGATCTTGTCTCAAAATAAAACAAAACAAATTGGTTGTAACAGTGTAAGGGCTAAAAATAAGTTTTTCTCTCATGGGTTGCCAAATATGGGTAATTTTTGCACATCACGAGTTAGCTCTTTTGTCTATTAATCATGATTTTGAGGTTTTTTTGTGGTTTTTTTTTTTGGTAATTTTTGTAAAGCATGGGGTCATGTCCTTTTTAGCATTTTTACTTATTTTCCAGATTTTTTTTCTCACTTGTATGGCAATCTCTTTGGGAAATTAGAAGTTTTATGTTCTATGTGAACTGTCCAAAGATTGACTGGAAATGAAAGACTTTAACTATTTGTTGTTATATTGTGAAACCGAAAAGATATAACTTCATTAAATTTTAAATATAGATGTTAACTTTTTGCTCAATATTTCAAAAATTTAACTTCAACCAACCCCTGAATTTGAGCTGAGAATGCAGAGTATATTAAATGTTTGTCAGCCAAATATTTTGCCAGCCATTAATAATGATACTCAAAAATATAAAAGAATTTTTTTAAAAAAGGTGACTACATAGTTAAATAAGGAAAGTAAGCATAATTGAATTTTATGTTTCAGGTTTATGAAAATGAATTTTAAACTATTAAAAAGTAAAAATAACTGCTCCATGTTCTCAAGTGTAAAGTCTATACAATTATACTATGGAGAAATACTAACTACGAAAGAAAACATTTATTGACTATTTGCTGTGTGGTAGGGACAGATTATCTGATTTGATCCTTGCAACAACCTGGGAGTTAAGTGCTATCAATATGCTCATTTTATAGATGATAAAAATGAAAGTTCAAACAGGGTAAGTAATTTTAGCAAGGGCACAGAGTTAAGATGGGACAGATTTGGTGGTCTGACTCCAGAACTTTAACACTCTGCGCTGTCATAAGGTGAAAATAAATTTATTTACAGAATCTCAGATACTGACAAAAATGCATTTTTAAAGATCAAAAGTAAGATTGCTCAAAAAAATAAAAACAAGTACACAGTGAAGGTAAATATATGGAATGCAATGACACAAAATGAAAAATACAGTGAGTGATTAAAACTACTATTCTTAATCTTGTGAACCTGCTTTGGGTTATACCAGAAAATTTGGATATTTCTGGGGTGTCCTCTTAATTGTTATTTAACATGGCTTTAAATAGCTAACTGTATTTCTAGATAACATGTAATTCTGGCTTCATCACTAACTTTGTGCATGGGTAAGTGGCCTAACTTGCCACGGTCTGAATTTTAAAAATTAAAGGTAACTTATTAAAATACCAAGAACATTTTATTTATGTATTTATCATACTGTATTTGAGATGCTTATAAAAAAGAAACAAAAATTCAACTTGCCTTTTTACAGAGAGCACGCGGGCTTCTTTGAGCCTACAGGGCGAAACTGGGTGGGTACAGGCTCCATCTGCTCAGTAGCTGCGGTCTGGACTGCTGCACGTCAGCTGCATCCTGCTCCTCGACAGAGGCTGCTCCAGAAAAAGAATGGATGGAGGATTGAAGATAACTAAAAAAGGCACTTTAAAACTCTTAAGATTTTTGGGTTTCTAAATGCTGCATTCTGAAAGACACGATCTCTTTTTAAAGACGTCTTATTGAAGCATAATATACATACAGTATATTTAACCTCATTTTATTATAGAAGCCAATTATGACAGAAGTTTTGAATAGAAGTCACATAAACGATCTTCTTTATAGAAGCAATTATGACAGAGGTTTTGAATAGAAGTCACATAAAGGATCTTCTTTTTAGATGCTACTAAAGCAACAGCAGGATTTAAGTCACCCTCTTTCAGAAACAATGCTGTGTGAAAAAGGAAAAAAAACAAAGCACAAAACAAAAAGTCACCCTCCCTAAGAGGTTGCAGCGTGAGCCACAGCAAACAGCAAGTTTAAGAAGATCGGCTATTCCGCATTAGGAACTAAATATTATAAAGAGCAGGCGTTTGACACGCTGTTAACAGACCTATAAAGTCTGTTCTGTGATGATCAGACATTTAGGACTACTTGTATTTTCAGACGTGTGTCCGACCATGTCACTTGTCACACGTGTAAAAACGGCAAACGAGAGCCCGAAGCTGCTACCTTCTGCGGAATCCTGCTCCCTCGCAGGAACCTCTACCCTGCTCTTTCCAAGGCCGGCCTCGGGGACTGCCAGGATCCCGCTCCTTCGGACACGGAGTCTGCGTGGACGGCAGGCCCTAAGTGAGCGAGGGCCAGGCAGCCGTGTTAGAAAGGCAGCGTATGGGCCTCCGTCTCCCACTCGGAGCTGCCATCTTGCCGCCGCTTCCTCACGAGCATCGCGAGCCCTCCCCGGGACCCTCTTCCCAGCCTCCCTCGTCCGACTCCTGCCGGGCGCCGGGCTCTCAGGCACTGCCGGGGCCGGGCCGGGGCGGCGACAGGCTCCAGGCGGGCGGCCCGCGGCCTCTGGGCGCGGCCTGCTCCAGCCCAGGCTCCTCCTCGGTCCGGCCCCTGGCCTCAGCCTCCTCCGCCGCCTCCAGGAGCCCCGGGCCGCGTCCCCCGGCGCCGCCTCTTCCGCCTGCTCGCCGGCGGGCCTGCGCGGGCCTGGGCGGCGTCCGCGCCGGGCGGGTCCGCTACGTCAGCGCCGCCCGCCCCGGCCCTCAGCTTCGGCCTCGGCCTCGCGGCAGCGGCAGCGGCGGCGGCGGCGGCAGGTCCCTCCCCAGACATGGCCCTGGGAGGCGGCAGCACATGGCGGCCGCGGCGGCCATGAGCGCGCCCCCCCGCCCAGTCCCCTAGAGGCCGCGCCCGCCCGCCTCCCGCACGCCACGCCCGCCGCCCCGCCGCCGCCCCGCCGCCCGCGCCCCCGCCCCCCGCCGCCGCCATGGGCGTGCAGGGCTTCCAGGACTACATCGAGAAGCACTGCCCGAGCGCCGTGGTGCCGGTGGAGCTGCAGAAGCTGCCGGGGCAGCCTGGTGGCGGCGGGCGGCGGCCCCCGCAGACCCGCTGCGCCTGCTGGTGGACGCCGACAACTGCCTGCACCGCCTCTACGGCGGCTTCTACCACCGACTGGGTCAGCGGCGGCCAGTGGAACCACATGCTCGGCTACCTGGCGGCGCTGGCCAAGGCCTGCTTCGGCGCAACATCGAGCTCTTCGTCTTCTTCAACGGCGCGCTCGAGAAGGCCCGGCTGCACGAGTGGGTCAAGCGGCAGGGCAACGAGCGCCAGACGGCTACAGCAGATCGTCAGCCATGTCCAGAACAAGGGCACCCGCCGTTGGTTGGCGTCTGCATGGCCACTGCAATCCGCCTGGCGCTCATCCGCTTCCACGTCAAGGTGAGGCCGGGCCGGGGATCCAGGGGGTCTGGGGCCAGGGCCTGTCGGCCGGGGACCAGGGCGCGCTGCATCCCGGGGCGCAGAATGTGGCCGGCCGTGGCGCGCGCGGGGCGCGAGTTCCCTCGGGCCGGCTGGAGAGAGCGGGCGGGGAGCCGGGCTGGGCCTCAAGATGGATGGCCAGCTGTCCAGGCCGCGCAGTATTCAAGCCTGCCTCCAGCTTTCCCTCCTCAGTGGGCCTGCTCGGGTCCACAGACGTGTGAGCACACTTGAGGGTTGGTAGAGCGCGCCGGATCAGAAGCCAGAGGTGGCAAGTAGTGTGTCTCATCTCCAATATCCTTAGGATTTCCCCTCTTTTTTGAGGCAGACAGGTTATTTACCTTCAACTTTAACAAAATCGCATTTTTTTCGAATGTAGCCTGTGCTTTCCCAGCAACAGGTTTATCTGGAAGAAGTAGGATGGTGGGGGGGCATCGCCAGGGCCAGTGAGGAGAAGCGGCTGGAATATATGCTGCTGCTGCTACCTTCACAAATATTAGCTAAGTGACAGTGAAACTTGTGTAAAGGCCAATGCATTAGTCTTTTCTTCAGAACTCAGTACACTGTCTGTGTTCCTTTTAAAATAAGATGTTTAGGGAAATTGCGGTTTATTGTGTTAGATTTCAAGGAATTGTAAATTTGACAGGATGGCACTTTGTCAGTTATGTGACTTACAATCTGTGTGGAAAAGTCTTTAAAGTAGTTCAGTTTTGTAGATTCGAAATTGGGCCCCGTATGCAATACAGGCGTGAACTTACAGATTTATTTTTTGGTGCACAGTAAGTATTCAGTGACCTTCAGCAGTGCCCTGATGGGTGGGTAATCAGAGCTCCACATTATCGGCCTTCTGCTGTCCTTTGGCAGAGGCTCCGCAGCTGAAACTGGGCCAGAGGAGAACTTCAGGACCCAGCAGTGACTGTAAAGATAAGCAAATAAATGATCCTGGACTTCAGGTTTGATTGCTTGCTTTTCATTGTTTTTCTTAAAAACAATATTTTGGGGACCGTTTGGTTTTAGCTCTTGTCACTCTGTCTTCCATCTTGTCATTCTTTTATGCTTGCTTGAAGCTGTGCTTGAACTCAAAGTTGTGAAATTCTCACTCTTCATGATTGCCCCTGCTGCCTGTGATGAGATGGTGGTAGTTAAGCCTAAAATGATAGCGGAAGTCACCCAAAGATCCGTTGCATTGGTGAAATAGTTTTTAAGCGTGTGGGTGGAGGCAGCGAAGAGTAGCGATTGGCCTGTGAACATGGCAGAGCCACAACTTGCCATTCTTCAGGGAAGTTCGGGTGAGAGGAAGTGTCTGCCTCACATTTTCTGAATTGGAGCCTGGGGCTCAGAGCAGTAAGATTTTGCCATTTCTCTGATGGACCACCTCCAGAAGAGATCATAAAAGTGTTCATAGCTTTATCTTGTTCAGAGATGGAAAATACTACTTAAAAGATAGGATGAGTTACTTACTGCTTTGTAACAGCACAGCTATATACTTGTGCTAAGTGATTTTCAAGGAACACTGTCAATATATACTTCTGATTAGAATCAGTATGTATATATATGGTCACTATTTTTAGAAAGAACCGTTGAATTTTTTTTTTAATTGTAATATTTCTTTATCTTTGTGCCCCTTTGAATGCTTTGCATACCTAGTAGGTGCTCAGGATTTTGGCTAAAGTGTGTTTGGAAACTAGAATTAAACTCTTTAAGATAATCTCTTCTGTTTAGGTGTCTGGACATGTAATTTGTCTATATTTTGCTTATAGGTAAACTATTAATTCCTGATCCAGAATCATAGCCTAGTGTTAATTGCACAGGTTACCTGTGTGATGACTCATTACCTGGTAGTCTCTTAGCTGGCAACCATACCTTTTTGAAAAATGCCTAACTGATTTAACTACTAGAAATTTCTCAGCAACCAAGCAAGATAATCAGGAAGTGTAGATGTAACAATTGGGGGGGGGTAGGGAAAGCTTCACTTTCCTCACTGAAGAATCCTTTAAGCTCTCACTCACAGATTGCCCTCTTCTTTTTAGATGTAATTTTAACAAGCCTGGTTATCTATTTTCTAAACTCTGTTTGAGAAGAGGGTGAAAGAAAGTCTGCCAGAGGCTGGAGCACCATTAATAGCAAGAAGTGACAACAAGAGAGAATTTAAAAAGCTATAAAACAGATTAATTCTGGCTATTTTAGAAGAAGGAAAACACCCTAGGTACTGCAACCCTAGGCCCCTGGGGGTAGTACAATTTTATTCTATAAGGGTGATTTTGAGTCAGAAAATTTATGTCATACATTCTCTGTTTAAGGGAGTGAAACAGTGTATGCTGTTATTTTTTTT